CTCCTTTGCTTTCTCTTTCCTCTCCTTTTCCCTATTGGTTGAAATGTATTTCAAAATTACCTTCCATCTATTTGTGTGTGTGTGTGTGTGTGTGTGTGTGTGTGTGTGTGCCAGTTCTGGGCTTGAACTCAGGGCCTGGGCACTGTCCTTGAACTTCTTTTGCTGAAGGCTAGCACTTCACCACTTGAGTCACAGCACCACTTCTGGCTTTTCCTGTTTATGTGGTCTTAAACCCAGGGCTTCAGGCATGCTAGGCAAGCACTCTACCACTAAGCCACATTCCCAGCCTTCCATCTATCTTTTTTGTTCAAGGCGGGCACTCGACCACCTGATCCATACCTCTTCTGGTTTTGGGTGGTTAATTGGCTTTGAACTGAGATCCTCAGATCTGAATAGGAATATAGGTGTGAGCCACTGTTAGCCAGCGACCTCCATCTATCCCCTGTACCTTCCTCTTAACCCTCTGTGTCCCATAGAATCATGTTCCATGTTTACATATGTGTATAGATATAATACTTATGTATTTTTTTTATTAAGCATATATGTGTATATGCCTATGAATATGTATATATTTTACATTTAGTTTTGGCATATTAACCAAACAATTCTATATTTAACTTTTTGACTTTGGCTTTTGTTTTTTTTTTTTTTTTTTTTTTGGGGTCCAGTCGTGGGGTCTGAACTCTGGGCCTGGGCACTGTCCCTCAGCTCTTCAGCTCAAGGCTAGTGCTCTACCACTTGAGCCACAGCGCCACTTCTGGCTTTTTTTTTCTTTTTGCTTATGTGGTGCTGGGGAATCGAACCCAGGGCCTCAGGCATGCAAGGCAAGCGCTCTACCACTGAGCCACCTTCCCAGCCCCGACTTTGGCTTATCTTACTCAACATGATGACTCCAGTTCCGTCCATTTTCCTGCAAATGACTTCATTTTTCTTTATGGCTGTGTAACCTTCCATGGTGCATATGTACCATATCATCTTCATCCATTCATCCGCTGATGGGCACCTTGGTTGATTCATTTGGTTATTGTAAACAGCATGGCAATAAACATGAATATGCAAGTATCTTTCTTGTATATTGATTTACATTCCTTTGGCTGTATGCTCAATAGTGGCATGCAAGATCATAAAGTATATTGGGGGATCCTATTCTGATTTTCCATAGTGGTTTTACTAGTTTATATTTCCACCAACAGTATAGTGACTTTTATTCACTGTTAAAGATCTGTAGATGTTTATTTTTCCTGTGTACTTCATTTGTTTTATTGATGGGACAAGTCCTATAAGGGGAGACTAGCTGGTCCCAAGACTCCAATACATTTTTATCTTGATTCACCTGGAAGTCGTGAAGTTCTGGTTTTCTAGCCAGACAAAACTAATTATGAAGTTATTCTTCAATTCCTTTCTTTTCTTCTTCCTCTTCCTCCTCCTCCTCTTCCTCCTTTTGTTGTTGGTTGCGGGGCTTTAACTCAGGGCCTGGGTGCTGCTATCGCTGAGCTCTTGCCCAAGACTAGCACTTTGAGCCACAGCTCTACTTCCAGTTTTCTGATCGCTAATTGGAGTTAAGAGTCTCATGGATTTTCCTGACTAGGCTGGCTTTGATCAGCGGCGATTCTCAGATCTCAGCCTCCCTATCTGCTGGTCTTGTGGGCTATGGAGATACACTCTATCACCTTGGGTGGGAAGATCATCGGCTAGCACATGCGGTATCTATAGCTCATTGGCGGTGGCACCTTTTATCATGATCATCTTCAACAGGCCTTCCAAGAAGCACCAGGACAGAGCCACTGAAGTGGACCAGTGCAGTGAGGAGCCGAAGTGTCACAAGCTATCTTACTTTATCACTGGCACACTTATGCAGAGGGCATTTCCCCATTACCAGCCTGTCTTCTGTTGGCACTGTGGTGAGCGGTCCTGACTGCAGAGATATGCCGAGCATTGATGATGAAGATGTTGGTAAGTCAGAGAACTGAACATCAAAATGGGCAGGGACATGAGCAGGGACATTTGTGCCAGTGACTGTCCCTGTCCAGCATTAGATTAACACAGCTTAACAAAGCTCAATAGGTTCATAAAGATACTTGATTCCAATTCTTAGGGTATACCTTTTGGCCATAAAATTGTCCATTCATTGCTGAAATGTGAAATGACAAAATCATCTTAATTTTTCTCAGTGATGCCAATTAAATGCCCTGTTCTGAAACTAAAGGTTTTTCCTAAGTGAGAGCTGTGATACGGTTATAAGAAAGAGTATCAAGTAGGCTCATGTACATTCTGTATGCCATTTTTTCACTGAGCTAACTATAATTTACTGAGAAGTAGAACCAAAGGTCCAGCTGACTGAAGATTATAAACATAAGATGCATAAGACAATGTATGCAAATCCATGTTTATGTTTTTTACAAGGCAATTAGGACCCTAATAAATCTAGTTCAGTAGAAAAATTTACAAAGAGAGAGAACCTACTTCACATACTGTTGCATATGAAAAGGATAACTGATGACACAAATGAGCGTGCCCAGGGATTGTGAAGTAATCTATAAGGTGTCACATTTATAGTAGCTTGCCCTTAAGTTAGTTTAAGATTTAGACTACACAGGATGGGAATGTGGCTTACTGGTAGCATGTCTGCCTACCATACATGAAGCCCTGGGTCTGATTCCTCAGTACCACATACACAGAACAAGCCAGAAGTGGCACTGTGGTTCAAGTGGTATAGTGTTAGCTTTGAGCCAAAGATGCTCAGGGACAATGCCCAGGCCCTGAGTTTAAGCTACACCAAAAGCAAAGTACTCAACAGTGCAGGTACTTCACAAGAATTTCTAATAGGGAGTTGGTATCTTATCTCTGTATTCCCAAGGCACTGAATATGGCCTACCGCGCAGGAGGTATCCCATTAAGTTTATAGAAAAATCCTCCCCAGTCTGGCAGAAAGCAGAGGTTTATTCATTATCAGAAACTATTAAGTACATGAACTCTGCACTGTTTCAATTCTCACTCTTAGCTTCTAGCAGCTTGCTTGATTTCTTTTTTCTCCCCATAGAATTTGGACAAAATACGACAATGAATCCAAAGCTACTTTTTGTTCAAGGCTGGCATTCTGGCATGAGCCACACCTCTCCATTTCCAGCTTGCTGCTGGTTAACTGGAGATAAATCTTGGGAATTTTTCTACCCAGACTGGCTTCTGTGGTCATCAGATCTCAGCTTTGAGTTGCTAGGATTACAGGTGTAAACCAATGGCAGCGGGCTTACAAAGATACTTTAAAAAGAGAACCATACACATTTCCTATTCTAGATAGAATTTGGTGTGGCTGCTGGTAGGTTATCTAGGTATTCTTAGGGCATTCTCTCCAAAATGCTGTAGGAATCTACTTCCCACTCATTCCATTGTTATCTTTGAAACTATCACTGTATTGTTGCTTGCCAGAACTGCTATACTTCCCAAACTATTGCCCAGCTTCTAGAATCTAATAGGAACAATAAAAAAAACAAACAAAATAACTGCACCAACTAACCACAAATTAGACATCACTTTTCTGTTTAGAATACTGAAGATTCTAGACTATTTACCATGGGTATTGTTTCCTCTTTTTTTTTGGGGGGGGGGGCAGTCCTGAGGATTGAACTCAGGGCCCTAGACACTGTCCCTGGGCTTCTTTTGCTTAAGGGTAGCACTCGACCACATGAGCCACAGTGCTCATGTGCCACTTCCAGCTTTTTCTGTTTATGTGGTACTGAGGAATTAAACCCAGGGCTCCATGCATGCTAGGCAAGCACTAAGCCACATTCCCAGCTCACAGTGTGTATTCTTTATGACACAGCTCTAATATTAAGGACTAGCAAATGACAGCCGGCAGCCATCTGTCTCTGTTAACAGTCACATGCTGCCTTTTGCATTGCAATGGAAGAGTTAAGTAGTTCTAAAAGAGATCACATGGAATGCCAAGCCTATTTACTACCTGGCTTCTTAAGAGTTTAACTCCTCTCTCTGACCTGACCCCTAGATCTCTTGGCTTACTGGATCACTTACCCCTTTACTAGCTAAGTTTCAAGTGAGCTCTTCCTGCTTCAGTCTATTCTTGAAGTAACTGCCATAGTGTGACTGATCTACTGAGGTCTCAAGCCTGACCAATCACTCTTGCGCAGCCCTTTCACAGTAACACGCCTCCCCCATTCCAGAGCTTGAACCCAGGGAGTATCTGATGGAATAGTGGCATATTTGGGGCACCTCTGGAGCCACTGGGCTGCTGGAAAGTAGGCGACATAAAGACATAATTAACATGCTATTGACTATTGAAATTATGCACAAGCTTAGTTCTCTCCTTGACTAGACCATAAGCTCCATGACTTTTGTCTCCCCTAACACCTTTTAAATCGATGCACAAGTTCCACATCAAAATAATGCCTGACGTTTCTTTGCTTTGGAGGCACTGGGGTTTTGAACTCAGGTCCTTGTGCTTGGTAGGACAGGTTCTCTTTGGCTGAGGCGCCTCTTCCGACGACTTTTGGGAGAGCAAAAAGCTCTCCTGCTGAAGCGCATGCCTTGACTGCCAGCAACCTATTTTGGGCTTGCTGTTGGAGCTGGGGTGACAGGTGTCATTTCTTCTACTAAGAAATGGGTCTTAAGAACTCTTCTGCCCAGGGTGGTCCTGGGCCATGATCCCCTCTATTTCAGCCTTCCAAGTAGCTGAGATTCCAGGCAACCTGGTCTGATGGTTTTTGAATGAAAAAGTACAATTATGAGTTGCTGAATGAATGAGGCTAGTCAGGAACATCACTACTGGAGTTCAGGCCAGTTTTCAAAGGTCAAATGATTTCAAATGTTGGACTTGTCTGAACAGTGACTTAATCAAAAGGTGAGGGCGAAGGAGGACTGATCCGTATTGGTGATCTCATTATGTATATTCTCTTGAAGGTGATCTACCTTACCATTGGTCAGGTAAGGATAGTATTGGGAAAATCAAACAAGGTTAAGAGGCCACAAAGTGAACAAAGAAGTTCTCAACTTTATGATTATTATGGTTAAGAATTTTATTATCAAAATTATTACATCTCTTGTGAAAGTTCAAATGTTACAGCAAGGTGTAAACACTCCACTTGAGAAAGAAGTAATACTTCTTTCCTTCCAAGAGTTCCCCTTCCCCCCGCCCCCCCCCTCCCCCCCGAGGTCTGGTCTTGACAGCACCCTGCCCACACAGAGTGGCTGGGGTCTCTGCACGTGCCAGGCAGGGTGAGGGCCGCCTGCCCGCTGGCCTCTCCCCTTGGCCAACAGCCAAGAGGAGAATGCAAACCCCAGCCCAAATGGAGAGACATTTACATACGTTTTATATAATATACAAAGAAACCGGCATCCCAGGCAACATGATTTCCACTCCCAACGCTCTCCCAGACTGATGGGTTTGTGGGGGAAACAAAAAGAAAGGTACTCTGCTGAGGTCTCAGCATAAAATAATAAAAATCTCCCCTCATTTGAGCAAACACCTGATTTCAATTTTGAAAAGTGAAATTTTGTAACAGTCACACACAAAGAGAGAAGGCTGTGCATATGATGGTTGTAGGACAGCATAGAAGAGGGGATGCGAGGGCGTGGGGTAAAAGGAGGACACAAATGAGAAAGTAGAAGGGAGACTCACAGTATTATCTTGTCCAAAAGAAAAGAAGTAAGGTCCACTGCAGCACCAGGGATTACACCTGTCATATATTCACTACCCTACCATGGTTATAACTGAATACAAAATTAGATAAATAAAAACACGCCGGATATTACAGTAAACAAGGGAAAGAAAGAAGCTGGCAACCATATGGAATTTAAAAAGATTGTGTACCCCACCTGGGCTGGCTCCAGGGCTCCTCCAGGGGTGTACAACAGGCACAATGCACTGATGGGGAGAAGCCAGTCTGTTCTCATCTCTCATCCAGAGCAGTGTTAGGGGTATGGGTGGGGCTGGGTACCTCTCACCGGCCCACTCGCACATACGCATCCCCCCAAAGAAACGTGGGGCAGGCCCACACACAATCACAGTCCTGTCGGTGCCACTCTATAAACCTATATTCCCACTCTTACCCTGCAGCCACGAGTGCACGCTCCCGATCAGGGAGGCAGTCCTACTCATGAGATCGTCAAGTCCTGATTAGTTGGGAGTAAAAAAATAAAACTTCAAAGTATTCCCAGACCACTCCAACCTCTCTAATTCAATCTTCTCTCCCAAGCTGCTAAGTAGGAACCCAATGAACACAATGGGACCACCTTGTTTCTCATTTCACTTTTCTCTACTTACTTCATGGGTTAAGCTCTGAAATGGCTTGAGAAGGAGGACTTGGATGGTAACAGCTGGGCCTCAATCTACTCAGACAATCTGCTCCCAGATAATCAAGAACTGACCATGAGATCTTCCGAGAGCCAAGCACCCCTCAATCAGAGCAAGCTCCAAGCTTTACTTTCCATGCCTCTTCCCTGGTGATTTAATGACAAAGGTAGGGAGTGCTCTTGCTGGACACACCTTGGACACGCATTTGCTTCTGGAATGGTCATCTTACGGTGACATTTGTATACCTACCTTTTTTTCTCTCAAGTGCATAAAACCCTAACACTACTCAAATGGCTTGGGGCTTTGAGATTGGCTCTTTTCAATTTTTTTTTTCTTTTGAAAGGAAAACTTTTTTTTCTTATTATTTATTTAAAAAGATGTCCTCACTGCACAAGTGACTACGGGCTACAGGCAAGGATGGGAGACAGAGGCTCAACACAACTCATTGCACTTAGAACCGTTACTAACCGGAACACCATTTGCTTGTCAACAATGTACCCTTAACAGCAGGGAGAAACTTCTTTATAGTCTCTGCTTCAGACAAGATTTACATCGTTCCCCAAGGCCAGAGGCCAGCCGCGACCACAAGTCTTGTTTCTTGCAGACCAGACCCAATCCTCTGGCATCTTGCAACCCCCTTCACCAGCAATATGCTCGGCCTAGGTTCCAGAGGCAGCTGGAAGGAAGCAGCTATGGGCTTGTTCAGTTCTGTTTGCCCATATCCAGAAGCCCTAGGAAAGTCCTGTCTGAGTCTTGACTCCTGACCCTTGCAGTGGCTGGAGTCGGTACTGGTGCACACTCCCACTCCCACGGTGTGGGTAGTGCTGTGAATTGGAAACCGCAGATACCCTGGAGGCCTGGTAGGCAGCTGACTGCCCAGTGCTGGGCAGACTGATAGTCCGTAAGTCAGATGGCAATGACGACCTAGAGTTCTGAGGAAAAGAGGTGGAACTCAGAGTTCCTGTGCTGGACTGAGAAACTGAGTCTGAGGTTGGTGAGTCTGAGGGGCCCTGTAGGGCAGGGCTAGCAGCACTAGAAGGACAGCTCCTCCTTGGAAGATTGCTGCCAGTGCTGTTTCCAGAATGTGGCTGGCTGCTATAATACCCTGGTGTCCCCGGAAGGGGAGCCATCGAGTCTGTAGACACAGGGTGGGCTGGGCTGGGGTAAGAGGTGGAAGAGAGGGATGATTCTGAAGAGCCTTGTGAGGGGGGATTCCCAGGTCTCAGTGCAGTAGTTCGATAACTGTATCCTGGAGATTGGGTGGGATGTCCTCTAAAGGGGGAGGAACTCTGTTGAAGGAGGCTTTGTGATTCTGTCCGTGGACTATCACACTGCAGGAGCTAGAAAGAGTTGGGAGGAAAGCATAAGGAGATGAATAGGTCTCTTTAACAGCTTGTAAGTCTTTATAATATCCCATTTTCTTTCTTCTGTATTTTCTTTTTAAAGGAATACTGGGGCAGTGAAATGGTTATTAGCGCTCTACCACTTGAGCCACAGCGCCACTTCCGGTTTTTTTCTTTTTTGCTTATGTGGTGCTGAGGAATTGAACCCAGGGCCTCATGCATGCAAGGCAAGCGCTCTACCATTGAGCCACCTTCCCAGCCCCGTGATTTATTTTTCTAGTATGATATATCTTAGAGTGACCAGCTGAAGACTTAATTCCAAGTCTTCTCAAACTGTGGGTAATGCCAGCATCTCAAATGCACATGATGAGTAGGATGACCAAACATTAGAACTTAGGATAAATTCCTATGGTTAAAAGCCTCCTCGACTCACCTGGTAGCTGTATCTGGAAGGGCTGTAAACGGTGGCTCCTTTTGAGAGCGCTGAGCTCAATGTTTCTGAGCCTTCTCCATCTGCAGGGTCTAGAAGGTATTATAAAATCAATCTGGTTTCTCAGAACAAGAAACAGCCCTTGTTCATTCCAATGACCAATGCCATCACCAACCCATGCTGCTCTCTTTGTGACAAACTGAGCGAATGCAGCATGCCACGAGGGTAAAAGGAGTGGTTAAAAATGCACTGTGTTTTAAATGCCTGATCTCATTTTCCTTTCCTTCTTTCTCTTCATCCTTCATCGAGGTGGAGCTCCAGGACTTTGGACAGACGAGTGCTATAGAAAGATATCCCTTGGGAAAAAAGAGCAGACAGAGAGCAAGCATTGCTGTATCTTGTTTTGTGGCCTCACAGAACACTGAGCTGGAACCAGCATTCAGCAAAGCTCAAGTGCATCCGAAATGGACTCACCTTATCCCAGCATTTGATGTGAGTTATGTAGACCCTAGCTCATGTGACCCAAACCTGCTTGTCAGAAGGCCATGGGCTCACCTGAATCTTTCTCTGTGACATTACTCTCCCACGTGGGAGAAGGCTCTCCCTTCTGGGCCACTCTCACACTGCTTCGGAGGACCTTAGGGATACTTCCTCCTTCTCGGAGTCGTTCTACTGATGTGGGAACCATCCTGCAAAGGTACCAGGTTACAAGTTGAAACCACAGGACTGATGAGCCAAGAGTCTGAAACAAAGGAGGACTTGACAAAGATTATACAGTATATTCTCTTAAGACACCCTCAAATATTATTTTCTTCAGGACCTTTAGAGCAAGACATTGTTGCCAAGCCCCGGTGCTCACATTGCAACCTTAGCTATTCAGGAGGCTGAGACTTGAGGATCATGGTTGAAAGGCCACCCAGACAGAAAAATCTGAGGTTCTTATCCCCAATTAACTACAAAGAAAACTGGAAGTCTGGTTGTGGCACAGGTGGTAGAATGCTAGCCTTGAGCACAAAAGCTCAGGGACAAGAACCCAAACTTTGATTTCAAGCCCTAGACTGGCACCCACCCACACAAAAAGATGTTAGTTTTGGGCTAGAAATGTAGCTAGCTTAAGTGTGAGGGTGCCTGCCTAGCTCCTCATCCTGAGTTAAAACTCCAGCCCTTCCCTCTTCAAAGTTAATTTTTTTTTGGGTCCGGTCGTGGGGCCTGAACTCTGGGCCTGGGCGCTGTCCCTCAGCTCTTCAACTCAAGGCTAGCGCTTTGCCACTTGAGCCACAGCGCCACTTCCGGCTTTTTTCTTTTTGCTTATGTGGTGCTGAGGAATCGAACCCAGGGCCTCAGGCATGCAAGGCAAGTGCTCTACCACTGAGCCACATTCCCAGCCCCAAAGTTAATTTTGTGTGTGTGCTAGTACTGGGGCTTGATCTCAGGATCACGTGCTATCATTTACCTTTTTTGTTCAAGGCTAACTTTACTTTCCATGTTGAAATGCTAAATCTTGTCTGTGAAATAATGTGCCTGATACCTAAGCAGCAGCTTGATAAATGTTTCCTAGATTAGTGAATATAATTTGAGCCAAGTTCATTCTTTCCAAGACTTGTTTTTAGTTCAAGATCACTGTACTTCTGATTCTTTGTGTTTTACTCATTTGATATTCAGAACTTGCCACTATTATTTACAGCCTCTCCTAAATCAGAGCAAATCCTTTAAGATTGTCGTAACTCTGTTTATGCTTGCTGCATGGAACAGCGAGCTAATGTTGCTAATTCAAATAAAACTTGGTTAGGCTTCTGATGAGGTAGTTTTAGGCAGGCACTCTACCACTGAGCTATGCCTCTAGTCCAGAGAGGCATGTTCAGTGTCCACCAAATATAATAGCCCTTGAGCAGCTACAACTATGTTGTCTGAACTGCAAGCTTGCTGGTAATCCTCTGCTTCTATAAGGTTGGAGGATGTGGCTGATGCTATTAAATCAGTTGAGGACAGCCTACACTGGTGCCTAGCTCTCTCAGGCTAGTTCTAATACATCACAAATGAAGTGGTGCACCATCTTAGGTATGTATTTCCTTCTTGAACTTAATATAAACGTACCATCTACTGCTGATATTCTCTTGAGGTCTGCAGTGAGATGAAGAAGTGCCCCTGGAATCTGATGGGCTTACTGCCTCCGAATGTGACATAGAGGAATGAGATGGGGAGAACTTTCTGTGAGGGGAGGATGGGACTCGAGTTGAAGATCCCTGAACACCATGGGCACCAGTGTCAGAAACAGAGTTACTGCTGCCCTGCCCAGCTCCTGCAGACTTGCTTTTGCTCTGTGCCGAGTCGCTGCCCCCACCAGAATTCTCCTTGGCTTCTTGTTTCCGTTTTCGGTACTCCAGCAGGGATACCTAGAAAGGAAAAGAAACAGTACTCCAGTTGGATGGCCTCAGAGGGTCCCTAGTAATGGGGAGAGAAGAGAAGCTCTTTTTTAGGAAGCCCTTTGTTTGGACTCAAAATCAAGGTTTTCTTCTCTGCCTCCCAGATGCTGCGATTAAAGGCATAGACCATCATGTAGACCCTCCCGGGTTCTTCTTCCTATTTGGGAATCCCTAGAGGTATGTTTCAAACAACCACCACCACCACCACCACAACCGTCCCCAACATACCTTCACCCCATAGTTTGGGACTTTGTGATTTCTAGGACAGGCAAACTTAGCAAGCTCTCTATGGCCTGACTCGGCCCATCTCACAATGTACTTTCTTCCTGTATCTCCCTCTCTTTATGCCTGGCACAATAATTATATCCAACTGTTCATACCACACTGCATCATTACTCAAGTGTCCCAGATTTATTCTCTGTTATAACATACTCATCCTCATTTGCTGGCTGCTAGACTTCTCCTGGTCAGAACCCTCTGCTAAGAGGTTCTTAGCACGTGTAAACAACTCCTCCAGAGTATCCATTATCACTATAATTAATGACTTACTTCCCTACATTACAGGATTGTGGGGATACAATGCTTCCTTCTTGTCCCTCAATTTTTTTGGGATGCTAGTCCTGAGCCTTTAACTCAGGGATGCTGTCCCTGAGCTTTTGTGCTGAAGACTAGTGCTCTACCACTTGAGCCACAGCTCTGCTTCTGGCTTTTTGGTGGCTAATGGGAGATAATTTGGTGCCTAATTGGAGAACTTCATGGACTTTCCTGCCTGGGCTGGCTTCAAACCATGTTCCTCAGATCTCAACCTCCTGAGAAACTAAGTTAGGATTACAGTCCTGAGTCATCAGTGCCCTGCTGCCCCCAATTTTTTTTTTTTTTTTTTGGTTGGTTGTGGTACTTGAACTCCGGGCCTGGATGCTGCCCCTAAGCTCTTTTGCTAAGTCTAGCGCTCTACCACTTGGAGCCACAGCTCTACTTACAGTTTTTTGAGTAGTTAATTGAAGATGAGCCCCATGGGGACTTTTCTGCTTAGGTTGGCTTCAAACTATGATCCTCAGATGGAGCCACTGGTGCCCACCTCTGCCCCACCTTTTTTTTTTTAGTCAGTTGTGGGCCTTGAACTCTGGGCTTGGGCGCTGTCCCTGCGCTCTTCAGCTCATGGTGAGTGGTCTATCACTTGAGCCACAGCTCCACTTCCAGTTTTCTAGTGGTTCATTGGAGATAAGAGTACCACGTACTTTCTTGCCTGGCCTGTCTGCCCCATTTTTTAAAAGATACAATTGAACTACATGGCTCAGGCTTGTCTTGTAATCTTCCTGCCTCAACATCTGAATGCTGGAATTACAGGTGTTCATTTTCTTTCTTTTTGCAATGCTAGGACTTGAACCGAAGGCTTTCAGCAAGCTATATAAGAGGTCTAACACCAAGACACATCTTTGCTCTGATGGCTATTTTTTTAAAATAATATATTTATCGAGATTAAGTGATTACATAAATTTCACAGTATTGTAGGATAGTGATATTTAAAGCCACAAACATATTTTAACCTTCACAAGGCAAATTGTCATTATCATGGCCTATGTCTGAATTCTATGAGCTTTAAAAATACAACTATTTCTTCTACATTGGGTGATATGTACATTTTCCTTCTTTTTGCTTAGTGTAAGCTGTTCTCGCTTTCCCTCTCATTCCCTCCTTCCCATCGCTGCTCTTGAGTTGCTTAGTTCATTTCATCAATGGCCAGTGCAGCTGACTAGCCTAATGACCATTAAAACAGTCTGATTCTCGCTGCACATGGCAGAGACTAAAGGTCTGATCTGAGAATAGTGTTGAGCACACATTTGGAACTTTTGTTTGGTTAATGTTCTTCAAGAGGGAGTCCATGTTACATAAACACTTACCTTTTTCCTCTGTGGTGGGTTCTGGGGGGCAGATGGAACTCCGTCACAGGCGCGTTCACCACCGGGTGACATCGATCCACGAGAGAGGTCTTTCATAAATCCATGTTCATATCTGCTGGAAAACCCTTCTGCAGGGGAACAATATCCCCCGTCCAAATGCAAAGGCTTCCTATCCCCTACTAGGGGAGACCCTCTATATAATCCATCTGCTCGAGGCATAGCGTTCAAAGGGGAGTAGGCATACATCAAGTTGAACTCTGTCCGAAATGCCTGGTCCGAGTTTCTCACAAGACTTTGAGGTCCATCTCCACTCCTACTTGGGAAGCCAGTCTCTGAGGTGGGCCCAAGAGAGGGATGAGGAGCCAGGTCAGAATGACTTGAGTTAAGCATGGAAGGTCTGTCAGCACAGCTGTTAGTGTTGGAGTCATGATATCCTACTTTTGTTAAATCCAGGTCTTTTCGGTGACAAAGCTGAAGAAAAAAAAAAAATCAATGGAGACAAGGGGCAGAGGAGAAAGGAAAGTCAGAAGGAAAAAAGGGAAGAGCAAGAGGGGCAAAGGTAAACAAGGAAAGGTAAAAGGGATGGAGGCAGAGGAGAGAAAGTCATTAACATATGTGGAAGTCCCATGCAGCAACAGTGTATATAAGGCCAGCTTACTAAAGAATCCCGGCCGATTTCCCAAAATGCTTTGAAGTCTTTTATGAGAATATTGGGGAGTCAGAATTAGGTGACTATTTTGCCTGCCTGGCCTTTCACCAGGCTACTCAGTCACTTTGTACCTACAGTAAGGGGGCTGGTGGTATAATCAGGGATTTACCTGAGCACCATGCATACTATACACAGGGGTCAAAAGACAACTGACTTCTGAAATTATTCATTCTCAGATTAATACTGATGGAAGGTGGGAGAGAAAAAGGGTGGAAAAAAAAACAAAACAGAAAGTAGATGAAAAGGCAAGTACTTAAGTTACTGGTTCAGTAAAAGAAAATGTATTAAAGACACCAACCAACCAGTTCTTCACTCACTTCCACTGTGAAATAGGTGTGTTTCTCATACAACTTTCTGGCCATTCAATTCTCTTTATTCTCTCATATATACCAACATATCACAAGACCACTAATGCCCATCACTGAAGAGCATGTGAAATGTTGCAAAACTAGAACTCCACCTACTATTTGGTTAACATTACAAGATAACTTGAGCTTTTTCCATCACTAGGTCAACTGTAGCCAGACTACAAAACTGGTACCAGAAACCCAAATACCACACCATGTCAATCAACTGATGCTGAGAAGAAAATGAGCTGAACTTTCCTAGTAAGATTGGAAAATCTCTAGTAAGCTACTAGAAGGAATAGCACTCACCACTTAAAAGTTCATGTCACAATGGTTTATAAAATCCTACTGACAGAGAATCTGATTAATTCTCATAGAGTTTAGTCAAATAAATAAATAAAAACATGTATATATATATATATATATATATATATATACACACACACACATACATATATATTTAAATTAAAAATGATGGGGTTAAAGTTGAGTTAATTTTTGAAGGGTAAGGAGACTAAAACATTCTCTTCAAGAGGAAAAAAATTCCATGTAGACTAAGAGTTAATAATTACTACATTCACCCAAATCATAGGGCTAAAGTGTGAATTTAGCATTTCCATAGCAGTAGTTCTCAGTTGATGTTCTAAGAGGTATCGTTCATTTTACAACTATAAATAACCAAGTCACGGCAGAACAGAGAAGTGTGACACAAAAGCCATGAACTGGTTTAATTTCCCTGTATGTCAGACCTATGAAGAAGTGGAAATACAGGAAAGCTATGAGGCACAATGATTTGCTTTCAAGAAGAAGCTGGTCAATCTATCAACCAAAGTCAAAACGTCTGTTACAGAGTTGTCACATTAACCCTGAAACAAGGCATGAGTCCCTGTCCAACTCTTCCAATGTAAGCTGCCCAATTAATACTAGTAGATAACGCTTACCAAACACTGAACTTTCCTTAATTGTTAAAGACTGTCACACATTAATAGCCTTTAAACTTGACTTCTAGATTCCATTCCTTCTTTCATAAAACTCTTCAGCCACCCCTTCCCCAGTTAACAACAGAACAAGCCCCATCACATACACACATCTACTTATCGCCTCTGTCTACGTCCCTAATTCCAGTGTTACACAGGAAGATTTGTTCAACTTTCAGCGACTAATTGGCCGCCCTCCAGCCCATTACCCGACTCACTCAGAGTCCCAACCCTCCCACACACTCAGGAACACACTCATGCACACATTCACGCACACTCAGCCTCCAAGTGTGACTGAGATGGTGTGATAACTACCTCGGGTGACAGGGACTCGGGCCTATGCGCAGGGGAACTCTCAGGGGAGGATATGCTCTGGAGGAGGGAAAAGCATCTTGTTATTCATCTACTCCAAGAAAAGAAGCAAAACAAAACAAACAAAAAATAAGAGCAAGCATAGATGTTAGCCACAACTTTGTTGGTGGGTGGGATTAAGAATGCGTAGGGGAAATGTTTAACTTCAGAACTCATCTCAGTGGACAGAATGACTTGTTAAAATGCTTCCTGATTATCTTGAAAGCATTTTATGTTAAACTGGTTATAATATTTCATGCTGTAAGTAAACATTTCAAGCATAAACTAGGGAAAGTTAGATAAAAACTTAAGTGTCATATTTCCTTGTATTTTTTAGATAAAAATTTAGCAACCTACAATCTTTACTATTTTTTTTTTTTTCTGTCGGTTGTGGGGCTTGAACTCTGGGCCTGGGTGCTGTCCCTGAGCTCTTCAGCTCAAGGCGAGCATTCTACCACTTGAGCCACAGCACCACTTCCGGCTTTTTCTGCTTATGTGGTGCTGAGGAATTGAACCCAGGGCCTTATGCATACAAGGCAAGCATACTACCACTAAGCCACCTTCCCAGCCCCACAATCTTTATTATTGACGGCTACTCTGCCCTTTAGTCCTCTTCATAAGAACCCTGTTCCTTCACCTCACATCCCTTCTATTGGTCAGCATGTTTCACTCTCTTACATGCTTCAGCCCATTACTGTTATTCTGGAAGATTACTCAGCATGCTGGGTGACTGTCTGACAAAGTAGAGGAGATGATCAGAACCTTCTTGAATCAGTTACAGAAAAAAGTGCGAATGAGAGAATCCATATTCACAAGCTGGATGTGATTTTTGGCACAATGTAATTAGACCTGAGCACTTCTATTATGGTTCTTTTGATTAACATACACTGTACTTTTGGGAACACAGGAGGAAAAAAAAAGGAAGCATGTGTATATATATTTGAGAGTCCTTCAGGCCTATAGACAGTAGACTTTTAATCTGAGGCAACATTTCCCAAACAAATAGTGACTGGATAGCAAGCTCTTAATGAGGAGATAGGAATGACAACATGTGAACAAAGTGAAAAGGGCTAAGGGGAGGATTCCAAATGTGTAGAACATGCAGCTGTTGCCTGGTGGCAGACCATGCTGTGGTAGGATTAATGGGCTGCTTCAGCAAAGCAAGAGAAAGGTGCTTGCTTCATGCTTTGTATATGTCAGACAAAGTTGAGTATGGAACTGAGGGCAGGAAGAGAAGGGAAGAGTTAGGCTGGTGAAAAGGGGAGATTAACTGAATCTGCTTGACTAATGTTGTACCTCCTCTTCTAGAGACTTTCCCCTGCAGGTTTTGCTTTCCTTTGTGTATCTCCTTACCTTAATATTGAAGATGTCTCAATATTCTAAATATATATATATATATATATATATATATATATATATATTTTTTTTTTTTTTTTTTTTTTTGGGTCCGGTCATGGGGCCTGAACTCTGGGCCAGGGCGCTGTCCCTCAGCTCTTCAGCTCAAGGCTAGTGCTCTACCACTTGAGCCACAGCGCCACTTCCAGCTTTTTTCTTTTTGCTTATGTGGTGCTGAGGAATTGAACCCAGGGCCTCAGGCATGCAAGGCAAGCGCTCTACCACTGAGCCATCTTCCCAGCCCTCTAAATATTTTTTGATTAAAAAAAAAATTCTTCCCAAAACAAAGCTGGTATTTACTTCTGACATCCTTTGGACATTTCTCTGAGTCATGAATTTGATAGAAAAAAGTCTTGCTATCTACTTTTCTGCACTGAACTACAGGAAAAAGTGTTGCTATTAGAACGGTGATGAGGTGAGGTTGTTTATTAGATGAAAAAGGCCACATTTCCTTAAATCACAAGTTTACAATAGTGAATAATACATTTGGCTTCTATTAAAGTGTTTGAACAATGCTTCATTACAATCACAGTTTTTTTTTCTTTCTTTTTTAAATCATGCATAGTAGTTTCACAGTTAATCTGAATGCTATAGCTAACAGGAAATGTGCCGAGTCCTAACCTTGCTTGTTTTGGAACAAGATTTAGCTACTAGTTTCAGTAATTTTACAAAAATAAAACTTGTTTTAATTAAATATGTAATTCTATTCTTATAATTTGATTGCTTTCTAGGGAGAATTTAGTCTTATGATTTCTTACTTTATATAAAACTCAAATTGGTGCCAGGTGCTGATGGCTCACACCTGTAATTCTAGCTATTCAGGAGGCTGAGAACTGAGGATCATGGTTTGAAGCTAGCCTGGATAGGAAAGTCTCTGAGAGACTCTTATCTCCGATTAACAACGCAAAGAACAGAAGTGGAGCTGTGGCCCAAAGTGGTAGAGCTGAGCCTTGAGCAAAAGAATGTGGGGACAGTGCCCAGGTCCTGAGTTCAAGCCCCATGACTGACAAAAAACAAAAAACTACCACATTCTAACTAATAACTGAAAAGTCAAAGATAGAAAGGTCTGAATTAGTTGGTATAATTTTTGGCTACAAAGAATACCAGGAGACAGGGATGGGAGGAGAAAATGGGGAAAGTGAAGGAAGGGGTGACACTGACCAAAAAGAAATGTACTCATTACCTGACTTATAAGCTGGCAACCTCTCTGTATAACAGCTTTATAATTATAATAAAGTTATTCTTTAAAAAAGAATACCATAAAGAACTTGACAAAAGTTATTTCCCTAGGTAACCAGAAGGTTGTTTTTCCACATAGAGAGAAGTCTGTCCCAAAATCAAGTTTATATGTCTAGTGATATATACAAAACATATAGCTCTCTCAGTGTTGTTTCTAGTTTCTTCTTTATTACTTAGATAGAAATCAAGGTATTTTTAATGTTAGAACTGGAATTTGAACTCAGTGCCTTATATTTGCTCGACTGGGGCCCTACCACTTGAGCCTTACCTTCAGCCTGGTTTTTGTTGATTATACTGGAGATAGCGACTCAAAGACTGAATTTTCAGCCAGGCCTAGCTTCAAGTTATGATCCTCTGGGTATCAGCCTCCTCAGTAGGTAGGATTACAAGCATAAGCCATCCATACCTAGCTAAATGCTGGGTGTTTTAAGTGGTCAGAACAAACTCTACTGAGAAGGAGTGTCTAATTAATTAATCACAACTTAAAGCAACTTGTAATAGGTTTTTCTTTTGGCAATATATGGGTCTGAACTTATGAGTCTTAGGTTAGATAGGCAAGTGGCCCTAAACACTTCAGCTACTCTACCAGCCCTTTTCTTGTTAGCTTTTTCCCCTCTAAGATAGTGTCTTGCTTTATGCTTGGGCCAGCCTGTATTATGATCCTATTTAAGCTTTGTTGCACTGCTGAGATACAGGTGCAGGACACTTTGTACAGTCCTTGGTTATGACAGGGTATTGCCAAATTTGTTTTTGGCCTACGCTGGCCTTGAATTGCAATTTCTACCTCACAAATAGCTTGGATTATAGCTGCAACTGCATCTGAATGGATGGATTTATTAATATACGTTGGATTCTATTAAAATCTGTCACCCAAACATTAATAGTGACAATTTCTAACAATCCAAACAATGATAGTAAGTTTGCCTTTCTAGTCTTGTCTATTTCTCATTCCTAATACAGTGGGGAAAACAAACAAACAAGCAAACACCTCCCCTCCCACATTCATCCTAAGTACCTGAATAATCACTAAATCTTTGCTCCCTGAGGCCACAATAAAAAATACAAAACAACCTGGGAAAGATACTGCAGTCATTTAAAGGCCTAGACACAGAAAAGATAATCTTAAGTATACTCTGAGCTCTCAGGTTGGTGTCACTAATGGGTACCTACAGGTACCTAGAAGCCTCTTTGACCAAGATATTCAGTAAAGATAAAGATTCAGCATGCTTACTACCCAAAGCTAAGGACATGTAGGGACTGACTGCATGCCAAAGACAGGTGAGTGAGAGCTGTTAACACTTCCTAATCTGGGAAGTACAGGGGTTGCCGAGATGAGAGGCTACTAGGTAAAGAGGCCACACTGACTCTGGAGTTTCCCACTCTTGTGGTGAGATGGGAAAGGAAGACAGTAAAGAGACATTTGAAATGGCATTGTATTTGAAATGAGGTACAAATGATAACTTTCATATCTGGCACTCCCAACAACAAAACCCAAATCACCTCAAACTGCAGAGGAGTGTTGCAGCGACTAGCAGTAGTAAGAGACGTGATTGGCGAGAACATGAGGCTGTATCCATTTCGACACTCTTCTTCTCCTGGGTGAGTTTGGCCAGGGGTAGTCAGTTGGGGGCTCTTAGAGCCTGAACTGGGAGGAGGTGGTGTGACTGGAGACAAAGGCCGAAGTAACTTGGTGACATTCTGCTCCATTAAATAGCGAGACTTCCATTTCTTTAATGGGCTCAACAAATCTGGGAAATACAAATGTTGAATGAGAGTTGAATCACAGCTTAATGGTAGGCTTCATTAAAACCATTAAATCGCTAACATGCAATGGTTCATACTTTCTTTTTTTGTTTCTTCCCATTATCTCTTCAAATCAGACTAAAAGACTGAAGAAATACACTGAAAATAATTCTCAAAGCACTATGTCTAAGAGAAACTCCAAATGAATCTGTCAGTCCTAATAACTAATGCCTGAGAAGATATAATCTATCCAAGAGCCAAAAATAAATTTTGAGCAAGGCACTGCTGGTTCATGCTTATAATCCTAGCTACCCAGAAGGTTGAGATGTGGTGATCAAGGTTGGAAACCAGCCTGGGCAGATATCCATGACACTTTCAGAGAAAAACACTGTACTAATACGATTTAATTTGAACAAATTATCATCTTTTCTATGTTAAAAGAGAGCAATCTATAGTGTGTAAAGAAAAAGTTTAAGTACTCTAGCTCCAGTGTACTTTTGTGCTATTAAGTTTAAAACATCAATTAAATAATAAATCTCATCATCACTAGAGCATAGTGAAAACCGTGACCTACAAAGCAATGTATGTGGACGATATTTCACACAGATTTGCTGAGGACTTTTAGTTTCCTGCCTGGGTTGGCTCTAAACCTTGATCCTCAGATCTCAACCTCCTGAAGAGTTAGGATTACAGGCTTGAGCCACTGGCACCAGAGGCTGCTGAGGACTTCTTATAATAATCTATTCAACTTGATAAGAGTTCTATGGGTCAGCAAGTTTTTCTTCTGTATATTGCATGGATTTTGATTGAGTTCACCTTGTTTATAATACTTGCATTTCTCCTTTTAAAACAGATTTAATGGATTTCATTCTATTTTCATATCTCGGTGTATTTTTATGTAGACTTCTTTCTGGAACATTACATTGATCTCATTGACTCTTAGTCTTATCTATAGTGCTCAGTAACATTCTCTCAGAAATACCTGTAAGAATAGCTGACAACTGGGCATTGGTGACTCACACCTGTAATCCTAATTACTCGGGAGACTGATATCTGAGGATTGTGGTTCAAATCCAGTCCTGGCATGAGACTCTTATCTCCAATTAACCACCAAAAACCTGGAAGTGGAGCCGGGGCAGTTTTGAGCAAGAAATCCCAGGGACAGGGGCTGGGAAGGTGGCATGCACTGGCCCTGGATTCGATTTCTCATCAGAAAAATCTGGAAGTGGTACTGGCTTAAGTAGTAGTATGCTAGCCTTGAGCTGAAGAGCTGAGGGACAGGCCCAGAGTTCAGGCTCCAGGACCCCCCCCCCCCCCCCCCCGAAAACAAAAAAACTAAAACAAAACAAACCCATACAAACAAAACAAAACAGAAATCCCAGGGACAATGACAAGGCCCCCTGATTTCAAATCAAGGACAGGCACATGCGCACATACACGCGCACACACACACACACAAAATTGCCTATGATTCACTATATTTGTGTGTGTGTGTGTGTGTGTTCTGGTTTTTAAGGAGTGACTTGCTTTGGTAGCCTTAGATAACCTTGAGCTAGCAATATAGAAGCTGGCTTCAAATTTGGAATCCTGTCTTAGCTGCCTGAGTGTATATCTCACAACACCTGACTTACCATTCACTTTTTAAGTGGAAGCATGGAATTAATATTACCAAAGTTTAACCAGCATAAGTGTTCAAATCTTTTCCTATTACACATGTATTCTAATGACCAAAAACGTTGCTCCTACATATTTATGTACTTGCTTTAGGACAAATGGCTACACATAGATAATTTTAACAAAAACAATGCTTACTGACTTACTATGAATGTATTCTCTTTGTGTGTGTGCGTGTGCACATGCTGGTAGTGGGGTTCAACTTCAAGAGTCTCATGCTCTTGCTTGGTTTTACCTCTGCTTCCAACTTTTTCAGTAAAAAATTAATTGGAGATAAATCTCATGGACTCTTCTGTCTGGGCAGGCTTTGATACTTAGATCTCAGCCTCCTGACAGGATTACAGGAGCAAGCTGCCAGCACCCAGCTATGTACTGATTCTTGTGTGAACTGTCTGCTTATGTTCATAAGACTACATTCTACCAATATGCTAATCTTTTTATTCATTTGTAAGGAATATCTAAATAATGATACCTCTTGAGTGTTGCTAAACAATGTTAACAACAGCCTGGCCCAGGTGGTTCATGCCTATAATCCTAGCTGATCAGGAGGCTGAGATATAAGGATCTCTGGTTTGGAATCAACCTAGATAGAACTATAAGACTTTTTTTTTTTTTTGTCGGTCATGGGGCTTGAACTCTGGGCTTGGGCACTGTCCATCAGCTCTTCAGCTCAAGGCGAGCGCTCTACCACTTGAGCTACAGCGCCACTTCCAGTTTTCTGGTGGTTTATTGGAGATAGGAGTCTCATGGTCTCTCCTGCCCGGGCTGGCTTTGAACCACGATCCTCAGATCTCAGCCTCCTGAGTAGCTAGGATTACAGGCGTGAGCCACCAGTGCCTGGGTATATAAGACTTTTTTTTTTTGTTGTTGATTGTGGGGTTTGAACTCAGGGAGGGCCAGGGTGATGTGATGTCCCTGAGTTCTTTTGCTTAGGGCTAGTACTCTACTCTACCACTTTGAACCATAGCCCCACTTTCATTTTTTGGGTGGTTAAATGGAGACTTTCATAGGGACTTTTCTGCCCAGGCTGGCTTGAGCCCTGATACTGAGATCTCAGCCTCCTGAATAGCTAGGATTATAATTGTGAGCCACTAGCACCTGGCTTGCAAAACTATAATACAATTAGCAAGCAAAAATTAGGCAGGTGCAGTGGCTTAGGCTTGTAACCATAGCGATTCAGGAACCTGAAATCTGAGGCTATACATTCTAAGCTAGCCTGGCAGAAAAATCTACATGACTTTGATCTCAATTAACCAGCAAAAAACTGAAAGTGGAGGTGTGGCTCCAGTGGTAGAATGCTAGCTTTGATTTAAAAAAGCTAAGCAAGAGCATGAGGTCCTGAGTTCAAGGCCCAGGGGGGCGGGGGAAGAGGAGGTTGGCTTGAAGAAGCAGAGTGACAGCAGTAAGCAGAGCCAGAGTACAAAAGGGCCAGAGTTCAAGCCCCAATCTATCACGAACACACAAGATTACAAATATGCTGGGTGCTAGTGACTCATTTCTGTAATCTTAACTACCCAGGAGGCTGAGATTTGATTGTGGTTCCAAGCTATGTCAGCAGTCTGTGAGACTCTTCAGTTAACCACCAAAAAGCCAGAAGCTGAGCTATGGCTCAAGTGATAAGCTCAGGGACAATACCCACACCCTTAGCTCAAGCTACAGGCCTGGCATTAAAACAAACACCACAACCAAACCGTCCCCCCCATCCCCAAGGTAAAAAAATTGCAAATAAACTTCCCCAATTTGCTCTTTGCCTTTAAATTTTATATTTAATTGAACCACTTTACAAAAGACTACAAAAATACCAGCCTATTCTTATTCTAGTAGGTGTTTAAATTTTCACCTTAAATATTATTTATAATTTTTATTTTTAGAGTGCTAGGGATTGAAACCAGGGGACTTACACCTTTTTTAAAACCAGAGCAAGCACTCTAATTCACTCTGCTCTGCTCTACTCACCCTACCACTAACTACTAACACTAATTTAGATTTTAACTCAAAAGTAACATGTAGTTCTTTCTAGGAACATAGTACAGGGGAGTGAACTTAGGGCCTGGTACTTTCTGCCTCGATCCCAGTCCTTTTGCACAAGTATCTTGTGTTTTTCTTTAAACTGGCCTTGAAGCATGACCCTCCATCTTCCATTTATGGAGTAGCTGGGATTATAGGTGTTTGTCACAATATCTAGCCCCAAAGTTTGAAGTATTGACATTTTAAGCATATGAAAATGATTATTTTTTGCTATTCACATGCCAAATAACTAGTACCTTCTTTGCAAATCTTTAGTTGTTATAAGATTATACTATCACTATTTAAAATTTCAGTTATTTTATTAGATTCTTAAATATATTGGATTTATGTGTGAATATTGGCCTGTCAGCTTACCATAAAATATGGTATCAATAAGGACATATTTTAAGTTTGAGAAAGGGTTCTCACTGTGTAGCTTAAGGCTAGGTAATAGGGAGGTACCAAAATGCCAGGCAGTATCGACACATTTTATTAAATTGTTAGGGTTCTCCTAGTTAGTTATATTAATTGCTCCAAAATATTTTGCTGATTCTAAATATATACTTTCATGTTGATGAAGTGTAGTAACCATTAGTTATGTGCACACCAACAAAAACCTTGTGATTTTGATGTTTTAAGAAATTCAAGCTGGGCCTCGGTGGCTCATGCCTGTAATCTTAACTACTCAGGAGGCTGAGATCTGAGGATCGTGGTTCAAAGCCAGCCAGGACAGGAAACTCTGTGAGACTCCTTTTTTTTTTGGGTCCGGTCGTGGGGCCTGAACTCTGGGCCTGGGCACTGTCCCTCAGCTCTTCAGTTCAAGGCTAGTGCTTTTTTCTTTTTGCTTATGTGGTGCTGAGGAATCGAACCCAGGGCCTCGAGCATGCAAGGCAAACGCTCTACCACTGAGCCACCTTCCCAGCCTTTGTGAGACTCTTATCTCTAACAAACCACTTAGAAAACCGAAGTGGCGCTGTGGCTCAAGTGGTAAAGCACTCGCCTTGAGCTGAGGGACAGTGCCCAGTAATCTGGGGATTAGAAACTTGGCCTTATCTCATTACTTAAGCCTTGATTTACATCTTTCTTTACTGAAATATGCTATACTGCTAATTAGATTTACTTTTCACTATTTTAGTCTTTCTAAACTCTCACTCTCCCTATCTCTCTCTGCTGATAACAGGACACAGTTCTCTACTGATGTTATTAACTTGATGTTTTATTTTGTGTAACATCACACTATAGGTCTTCATTGGTTTTGTAGTTATTTCTCTTGCCTTTTCTAGAAGGATCAAATTAGTTGTATATCACACACACACACACACAC